AGGCGGGGGGCGGGGGCGGCGGGGGCAAGACGCAGCGGCGCAGCGGGCCCGCGCGGTGAGAGGGCGGGGAGGGAGGCGCGCGCGGCCGAGCGAGAGGGTCAACAATATATAGAGCAGTGCCGCCCCGCCGCGCCATCCTGCAATGGAGAGGAGTGTCGGGGTGTCGGCGGGGGAGAAGAGCCATGCGGAGGGCGGGTTGAGCTGAGAGACGCGTATATGCATCCGCTCTCCGAGTAAGTATTCTCGTGTATGAGAAGAAACAAATACAAAAAAATCCATGCATCGTCCATCGACCGCCGGCGTCGCGTCTCTCGGGAGATCTCGCTTTATTTGCGCTCTTAGTCTTACACGGTTGTCGGTGCGTCTTGGGCGCCGGGGTTGTGACTTGTGTTTTTGCCCGTGAGCAGACACAACTCACGAGACCCAGGCGTGAGAGAGTGAGACTGAGAGTGACTCTAACTTAGTCTTAGAGGTACACACGGAGTTACGCGCAGCCGCGCAGGGCAGGACATCATGCGGCATGCGGGTTGCGGCGCGCGAGGAGGCTGAGGCGCGCCAGCTCGACGCCGCGCACTCGTGACCGGGCATGCTACGTATCGGCCACAAGCACGGTTCTCACATGACACATCCCATCATCTCAGGTGCACCGCGCCTCTGGTGTGGGGACGCCAGTGAACACACTGCTCACTGGTCACTGCGGCGCGCGGTCATACTCCTGTGCCAGGTGAGAGGTGTGATTCTGATTGCCCGGCGTGGGCGAGTGTGGGACGGCAAGGTGCTCCGGTCTTGCACGGCACAGAGCAAAAAAATAAGCAACGTATTTACGGAACGTAAACGTGAGAACTGAGAAAACGGAAGCATGCACTCAGCTCCCCGGCCGCCCTGGATGTGAGGCTGCCGACTGCACGACTCCAAGTGCCCCAAGTGCACTCTCTCGTCAGGAAACATGCACCGAGCGATCTGCCGCCCCCGATTCCGATCCGCAGCGGCGCCAACCCTTAAGTCAAACACGCCGGCCGACTCCCACACCCCTGCAGCCGCTAGCTAGCTCACGGTGATCGACTGGATGGCGACCTTGCTGCGCTGCTTCACTGCCTCAGCGATCTGATCGACGACCGCGAACGAGGCGTCGTCCTCGACGCAGGCAAAGACGCAGTAGCCGCCGTAGGCCGCGTCGAGGTGCGAGTTGGCGCCGAGGTTGATGAAGAACTCGGTGTTGCCGCAGTCTGGCACGTCCCAGTGTGCCACGGCGGCGGTGCCGCGCGCGTTGCTCACGCGCTGGTGCAGAGCCGTCTCGTTGACCTTGAGGTCGACGCCGAGCGGGTTGGGCTTGCCCGAGCCGTGGAGGCCGCACTGGATCACAAAGTCGCTGCGGTAGAAGCTGGTGCCATCGTATGCACCCGCGGCGGCGGCCCGCGAGATGTACGAGGCCGTCTCGGGCGCGGCGTCGGGCCGGAGCCGCAGCCGGATCACCCCGAGCTCGGTGCTGATGTTGAGCGCCATCGGCGCGGCGGGCTGAAGAGGAGCAAGCCAGGCAAGCGGCGCGAAGGAGAGCCAGGAAATAAAGAATTCCTGGCGGCGAAAAAGAAAAACCGATTCGCGATTGATATATGTGTGTGTGTGGCAGGCGCCAGGAATCGCGGCGGCATGAGCGGCGCCAGCCCAGCTCTGCTCGCCGACATGGCTCAGGGCAACGACCTGGCCTCGCTGCACGCCTTCCTCTCCGGGCAGCGGACTCGCGGCGGCACGTCGCTCGCGGCCCTGCTCGACGCGCGGCTCGAGACACAGGGGCAGGACACACTGCTCACCTGGGCCGCTAAGCACGGACGGGCCGAAGCGGCGCGGCTGCTGCTCGAAGCCGGCGCGAGTGTTGGGACGACCACTGGCGGCGGCGCTTCCGCTCTCCTCCTTGCGTGCTGGAAGGGATGCCTCGAGTGCGCCCGACTGCTCCTCTCCGCCGGCGCTGCGGCCAACCAAGCTGAGCATGGCGGCTTCACTCCGCTGTACGTCGCGTGCGAGCAGGGGCGCCTTGAGTGCGTCCGGCTGCTCCTCGAGGCTGGCGCGGCGGTGAACCAAGCAGATTCTGAATGCCGCACGCCGCTGTACGTCGCGTGCCAGGAGGGCCACCTTGAGTGCGCTCGGCAGCTCCTTGAGGCGGGCGCGGCGGTCAATCAAGCCGCGAATGGTGGCTCCACGCCGCTGTTCATCGCGTGCCAGGAGGGCCAGCCCGAGTGTATCCGACTGCTCCTCGAGGCTGGCGCGTCGGTCAACCAAGCCGATGACGGTGCCACGCCGCTGTTCATGGCGTGCCAGAAGGGCCACCTCGATATCGTTCGGCTGCTCATCGAGGCTGGCGCGGCGGTAGACCAAGCTGCTGATGACGGCGCCACGCCGCTGCTCATCGCGTGCCAGAAGGGCCACCTCGAGTGCGCCCGGCAACTACGCGACGCTGGCTCTGACATCCACCAAGCGTTG